CTCACTGTGATGAAGAAAGTTGGCTTCTTTCTCTACTTTTTGATGATATCAAATAACAACTCTTCATACTCTTCACCGGAAATTGGCTCTTCTTGATCTACAAATCTCACTTTTCTTCATTGGTTTTGTCTATTATGCTTCAATACCTGAAAACGTTAACCAACCTAATTATACTCGGCTCGAAATCAAATGTATCAGAAGGGATAAATAAAGCTAAATTCTTTATGATATCGATGAGTGTACCTCTAATTGTTTGTCTATTTCCAACACTGTAGCTTCCTGGGTAACCTTCTGAGGCATTAGCAGATGGGTCTGAGCCTACATTGTCAATACCAAAGCCATAAGAGCGAGACAAGCCGTCTAACTCGTTGGAAGACTGATGAGACATCGACTGCTGCCACGTTGAGTCATTATAGACCGAGCTGCCTCTGTACAATTCTCCTAAAGAGCCATCAAAACCGTTTGTATTACCCGAGAATGATAGAGCAGAAAGTCCAGAACCAGTCCCAAAGTTTCTTCCATAGCCATTGTTATCGTTCGCCACAGAAGAAAGTCCCCAGTTTCCTCTGTTGTTACCAACAGATACTCCCAAGTTCCATCCAGGACCAGAAGAATCAGTTCTGTTTCCCCACAAGTCTCTATTGCTCGGGTTGTAAGCAGAGTCGCCTCTATTGTACCCAATTGGAGAGTTGTAACGGTTTGGTGAAGCACTGTTGAAGTATTGGTTCCCCAGGATCCGGCTATACCCAAGAGTGTTTCCATCAAAGCTTGAATTCAAACTCAGTTCTTGATTCAAACCAAGCCCAAAGCTAGAGAAAGCATTTCTACCGCTACCAATAGGACTAAACCGGCCAGCAGAGCCTAGATTATTATTATAACCAGGAGCAAAACTATTGAAGTAGCTATTAGCAGATGACCTATTAGAGACTACTCCATAGTTATTACCATACCCAAGTAGCGGGCTTCGGATAGAAGGAACCGAGGAGGGCTCCTTTGGCACTGCTCTTTTAACCTCGACCATTTTTCCATTTAGCTCGTGGAAGGTCTTGTGAAGAACCATATCAACAGACTCTTCGGAATCAAAAGTGATGAAGCCAAAGCCTCTTGGCCTCTGTGTATTATGATCATACATTACCACAACATCAGCAATTGTACCAAACTGATCAAAGTAGTTCTTGAACTCGGCCTCGGTAATGCTTGATGGTAAACCTCCAACAAATATCTTCTTTGTCCGCCCGCTGCTACCATTACCACCACCATGGCTAGGTGAAATAAGGTGCATTGGACTGGCGTGTCGTTTTAGCACTTGCTGATCATCCCGTGGGACAGCTTTCTTTGCCTCGACCTGCAACAAAGAAAAACAAAAGGAATCTTTATTCTTTTCTCGTTAAT